AACCTGTCCACCATGGGTGACCCTGCTGGTATTGAAAATATCGGTGGCATAGCTTTCAGAATCACAGCGACTCACAAGCCACCACAGTACAACAAACTGACAGACGAGTGGTGGACAAGTATTATAGCAGAAGGTATTTCTTGAGGTCAGACTACATTGGATCTCATGAAGAAAATTATTGGGGACTATTGAAAATGAGAGATTTGGGCAAATGAAAAAGGACAGAAAAAATCCAGGCAAAATAGCTGAAGAAAGAATACGTAAGTCAGGTTTTATTAAATGATCTTACTGCCTTCCAGAGTTTCAGCTGCCCTCCATGTGATTTTACTCCTATAGACTTATCTCCAACTCAGACATCCCTACTGAACTCCAGATATCTAATATACACTGGACATCTCACCCATATGTGCATGAGCACTACTACTTCACATATTCTCTGTCCCTCAAATAGTTCTCATTACTATAGAATAGTCTAATAGAATTTCTGCGAAGGTTAAATGAAATGATGATATAAGAAGCCTCGCATAATAACCAGCAGCTGTTGACTGCTTTCACCATTTCCTTTTCCTTTCCTCTTGCACAGTAATACCATCTTGGTGAATGGCATTGCCACCAGTTCAGTTAACTAAGTCAGAAATCTGGGTGATGTCTTTGATTTCTCCGTCTTTCTCATCTCCACTCCCAATAAGTAACCATGTGTATCCCATTATGTGCCTTCCTTCAGATCTTTATTTCTCTGTACACACTGTGTATCCAAGTCCTCATTATCCCCACCTTTATTACCACAGAAGCTTCCTAACTGATCTTAATGCCTCAAGTCTAGCCTTTCTCCTATCTATTCTACACCTTTCTGTGAGAAGATTGTTCTCCCTGGCAGATATTATTATAAAAGCCTCAAACTTCAAGCATGTCACAGTTTCATATGACCTTCAGATTACTGACCAGCCACTTTTTCTGCTTTGATGAACTTAATGCCATCACCTAAAGAAGTCATATGTCCTCATATGTCATGTCATTGTAAATAACTGCTTCCTCTGTGTAAAATTCCCTTACTCCCTGGTTTTGCTTCATTGATTGCTACTATATCTACCCAGGACAAAGGGAAGAAAAACCACAGAAAATTCTAAAATATGAAACTTGTATTTTAATGGGGAAGAGACACAAGGAACACATAAAAATATAATATTTATTATAATAATAAATACATAAATTAAATATAATATCAGAGCACATAGATGGTCTACATATAAAGGCCCATGGAGAGTCCTG